TCCAAGAGGATGTTGGGATTACTCACTGGGCCACGTGGAATCTCATTTATCTATTTATAGATAAGGCAACTGGGGGCCAGTCACAATAGGAAATGCAGGCATTTGCCAGGACTGAGCAACGAAGGATGGGTCACTTAGGAATGAGAAAGAAGGCAGGATTCACCAATGCCTCCAGTGTGCTTATTAAGCATTCCCATGAGGAACTTGGGGATTTCCAAATTAGTAGCTAAAGGGAGGAGAGCCTCCCATGGAATGATGAGGACAAAGAGAACAATGGGACTTCCCAGAAGGCAACGGGGCACATTCCTGGTGGCGCAGATGGTGGAGTGTGTATGTGTGTCAGGGGTTGGTGGAAGTATTGATACTAGGGAGAGGCAATGTGGGTCCAGGATGCAGCAGCCAATGGAGCACTGTAAAGGACTATTTATGTGGAAGTAATTTTTGTATATATCTTATTAGCGTCTTGTTTTTAAACCACAATCATTTTCCAATTTTCTCCCCCCACAAAATAAACACCCACACATATAGAGTTTGCAAAAAAAAAAAAAGGAAGAAAGAAAGAAAAATTATTAAGCAAAACCATTTTATAAAATGATTGCATCTGACAATTATATAATGGGTCCATACCCAGGGTAAGGCCGAGAGCCCCAGGAATAATAGCACCACCCTCTTCTTCCACACCATGCTCTGAAACTATCGAACAAGGAAGCAGGATTGGTGGACATTGGACCTGGAAATTGTCCCTTCAGGGGGTGGTCATTCCTGCCCAGCCCTCCCCTCCCACAGCCACAGCATCTTTGCTCCCCTCAAATGTCCCTTGGCCCTGGCTCCAGAGGGTGACCTCTGGGCTCGTCTCTCCCCTCATTCCCGGGAACACGAGATCTTTGAATCAGGCTGGTAGGGGCTGCAGCAGCAACCATTGATAAACTCTGGACTTAGGGGGGCCAGACCCAGAACTCTCTTAGGTCTCTGCTGCTGCTCCCAAGACCCCTCCTCATCAAACCCATCAGTCAGATTGAAAGTAAATGAAAACCATCCATTTCCGGGATACCAGGGTCAACCTGGGTGTCCTGCCAACCTGCTGTTTTCTCCATCTCTCTATTTGGAACAGCCGCCCTTTAGACCCGGGACCCAAGCCCAAGAGCAATCTTCCTCATCCGTACGGATGGGCGAGATTTACTATAGCCTGATTTCAACCACAATCAAAACAACAACAAGAACCTGAATGATGGATGGCACTGAAATACACGTGTCACGTTTCTCACCAAACACAGCCAAATGGGGCACTTTCTCCATTTGTCTTTGTGAGGTGTCTTTTTTGGCTATAAAAGCCATTAAGACCAAATATCAAAATAAACTGACCTTAGGCAAATCAGGTCAAGTCAACAAGAATTTCTGTGCCTGCCGTGGCAGCTGTGCTAAGCCCTGGAGAATTTAGAACCGAACGTCTTCTCTGGAGCAAAGTATGAAGCCAAGATTAAAAAAATAATACTGAAGGCCATCTAATCACATTGCTTTGACTAAAAATATTGTATTTGCTCTGGTGAGTGCAAAAAGGTTTTTTGTACCATTAATATAGGAAATAAAATTTATTTAAAATATCATTTTAATTCATCTTCATTGATCCTTTTTTTGGTAATTTAAAAAATTTTTAACTTAAATACAAAATGAGAAAAGAAAAAAATTTGCCATGTACACAGCAGACCAATCCTTCTTCATTTCTATTTTTGTGTATGTTTTGTAATGTGCAATAGTGTATGTCTATGATTTATAAATAAATATATTGGGAGTGTATGTTCAAATATATTTATACTGAGAAAAGTGAGTGATCAAAAAAGTTTGGAATCACTACTCCAGGCAATACATCTTTGTCCTTCTGGGAAATCACTGCCTAAGAGCAGATGACCCTCCAAGTCAACTCCACTTTCAGAGTCAACTTAGCTGAGTTCTCTAGACCACAGAAAAAAGAAACTGGCCCCAGGCCAGAGAAGGTGGGATTTCACATCTGGACTCACAGCTGGAAGAGGAAGGCAAAGATAGCCCTTCAGCCTCACTGACCTTCTTACAATCTAGCTGCTGATCTCACACATGACAGCTGAGGTACCCCTGGGGCCAGAATGAGTTTGGGGAAGGGGGGGATGAGGGGAATTGAGGGAAAAAAGATGGCACCAGAGTGAGAAAGGAGCCGAGATTGTAGAGCCATGACTCAGTCAAGGAGGCATTCTTTCTGGACCTGCTGTCTTGGGTAAATGGATTCTTTCTTCTTTTTTTCTTTCTTCCTTCTTTCCTTTCCTTCCTTCTTTCTTTTTCCTTCCTTTTCCCTTCTCTTTCTTTTGCTTTCTTTCTCTCTCTTCCTTTCTCCCTTTCTCCTTTCCTTCTTTCTTTCTTCCCTCCTTCCTTCCCTTCTTCCTTTTTCCTACCTTTGCCTTTCTTTCTTTCTTTCTTTCTTTCTTTCTTTCTTTCTTTCTTTCTTTCTTTCTTTCTTTCTTCTTTCTTCTTTCTTTCTTTCTTTCTTTCCCTTTCTCTCTCTTCCTTTCTCCCTTTCTCCTTTTCTTCCTTTCTAATCCATATTTCATCGTATGTTTACTTATTTTATTAATTTTTTCCCAATTACATTTTAATCTTGTCCACTGTACTCAGTCATGCTGCTAGCTGCACATGGCCTGGCCCCTGTGGCTTGCATATTTGACACCCCTACGCTAGGCCAGGTTGCCTTATACCTGACAGATGCTTAATAAATCACAGAACCACAGAATCAAGAATTGGAAGGGTCATCATATATCCCAACCCATACCCATGAAGGAATCCTATGACACACCTGACAAGTGGTCAGCCAGCCTGAGCTTGAGGACCCCTAAGGAAAGGGAAGCTATCACCTCTCTGAACAGCCCATTCCACTTGGAACAGCTCCAATGTTTTTTGAATTCTGCAGAAGGAAAAACTGAGGTTCAGAGTTGGGGAGCATCTCGCCCAATGTCATATAGCAAGTTGACAGCAGAGTCAGGACTAGGCCTCGGGTATCTGAAGGCAGAATGGAAAGATGCCCACCTCCAGCCCCTACAGCATGAGGGGAAAGGAACCAGGGTGAAGGGTGCTCCCTGTTCCTAGGTGCTTTGTGAGCTGGAGGCTTTTCTGTGCAAAGTAAATCATTGGAACCATCACATCTTGGAAATGACAACTTGCTTTAATACTTTAAGCAACTGTGCTCTTGGTGTGGATGTTTCCTTCCCCAACACAGATTGCAGCCCGTGTAAAATCTAATAAGTGGCCTTAGATCCTGTTTTTAGAGATAGAAGGGACCCAATTGGTCAGCTGGCCCAACCCCTTCACTTTCCAGAGAAGAAAACTAACGTGCAGGGAGCTTAGGGGACTTGCCTGCGGTCACAAAGGGAGGGATCTAGGTGGTACAGTAGAGATAGCAGTGGCTTAGAGCCAAGAAGACCTGAGTCTGAATCCTCCCTCAGACACTTACTAGCTATGTGGCCTTGGACAAGTCACTTAACTGGTGTCTGCCTCTGTTTCCTCATCTATAAAACAGGGATAGTAATAGCGCTTATTTTGTTATCAACAACAGAGCTGTGAGATAACATATGTAAAGAGCTTTGCATACCTCAAAGTGCTATAAATATATATGCTTAGTTATTATTATTATTATTATTAATGTAAATAGAAGCAAGGGTTCTGACCTTGGTCCTCTGACTCCAGATCCAATGTTCCTTCCTCTATTTTTTTGGTCAATTAGTTGTGTCTGACTCTTTGTGACCCCATTGGGGGTTTTCTTGGCAAAGACACTGGAGTGGTTTGCCATTTCCTTCTCCAGCTCATTTTACAGATGAGGAAACTGAGGCAAACAGAGTTAAGTGACTTGCCCAGGGTCACACAGCTAGTAAGTGTCTGAGGCCAGATTTGTACTCAGGTCCTCCTAATTCTAGGGCCAGCATTCTATCCATTGCACCACCTAGTTGCCTCTCCTTCCTCTATGTCACACTGCTATCTGGATTTGGAGAGCCGTAATTGTCCATCGATTCATCCCCTGCGGTCAACTTAGACTGGTCCTCTGACCATTCAGTTAAACAAGCTTTGTTTTTTGTGCCAGGCACTGTACTAGGTTCTGGGAATTCATAGACAAAACAATGAAAATACTCTCTTCCTTCAAAGAGCTTCCATTCTACTTGAGAGAATCAACATGTCCAGAGACAAGTGACTAGAAAGTATAGGGGACCCCAGAAGGTTTAGGGCAGCTGGAAACCTTATAATTTTGGAGCCTCCAGCATATACAAAGTTAATGCAACGTAATTTCATAGAAGGAGAGCAGCAGCAGTTAGGGGAAATCAGAAAAGGCCTTATGTGGGAGGCAGAATGGAAAGATGCCCACCTCCAGCTCCTGCAGCATTAGGGAAAAGGAACCAGGGTGAAGGGTGCTCCCTGTTCCTAGGTGCTTTGTGAGCTGGAGGCTTTTCTGCGCAAAGTAAATCATTGGAACCATGACATCATGAATGAAGCTGGAGATTCCAAGAAGCAGAAGTTGTGAGGAAGAACATTCTGCCACAGGACACAGCCTGTGCAGAGGATGGATATGGGAAACAGAACGTCACATACAGGGAGCAGCAAGGAGGCCAGCTGGACATCTGAGCCATCTCTCAACCCATGCTCATAGCCTCTCCATCTTGGTAATGTTGGCCATCGGCACAGCCTTCAAGAAATCAGGGGCATCGCCATGGCATAATGAGATAAACTTGATAGTGGAGGGATTGGCAGGAAAAAACAACCACTGGGGCAGCATGACATAGTGGGGCTAGGTATCAGTAGGTCTTTGGTTGAAGTTTGCTCTGCCACTTACTAGGCCTGTGACCTTCGACTACTACCGCTACTACTATTACTACTGCTACTACTACCACCACCACCACCACACTACTACCACTACTACTGCTACTACTACTACCACCACCACTACTACTACCACTACTACCACCACCACCACTACTACCATTACTACAGCTACTACTAGTACTACTACCACCACTACTACTAGTACTGCTACTACTATGACTTTGGACACTACTTCCCACAAAGTAAATAATACAGCCAGTATTTGTCAAATGAATGAGCCTCAATTTCTCCATCAGCAAAGTGGATAGAACAAGACTTTTGTGAGAATCAAATGGAATAATGTCCTTGAAACATGTTGCACGCTATGAAGCAATGTATAAATGCCAGTCATCACCACTATACCTTTTGCATCCGGGAAGTTTAGCCATTTTTAAGAAAGCCTGCAGGTTATTTCCATAAGGTTCAACCCACTGAGTGGATGGTGAGCTCCACAGAGGTAGGAACTTTGTCTTATTTAATTTAGATCTCCTCAGAGGCACAACAGTGTAGTAGGTACAGAGGTCAGACTTGGAGTCAGAAAGACCTGGGTTCAAATCCTGCCTCTGACATTTAACTAGTTGTGTGACCATGGGCAAATCACTTATCTGAGCCTCAGGCTCCTCATTGCAAAATGAAGGTTTGGACTAGATGGACTGTGAGCTCTAAATCTCTGATCCTCTGCCCTCTTGGTGCCCCGGGTAACTTTTTGAGGTTATAAGTTACAGACAAGTTGTTGATCTGTATTAATGGATTGAGTTTCCAAAGCATGGAGTTCTCTACATTGAAAAAAATCATAGATTCTGGTAAAAAAAGGTTCTCCTCAGCATGCATACAGTAAGCACTTAATAAATGTTTGTAAATGTGTTACTTGTAATGTAATATAAACTCCTTGAGGACAGGGACTATTTTAATTTTGTCTTTGTATTCCCAGCACCAGCCCAGTGCCTGGCACATGGTAGGCTTTTAATAAATATTTATTAGGAGCCAAATGGCCTCTCTATCAGATGTCTCTCAAGTTAGGTTTTCAGTCTGTTGTGCCTTCCTGTATTGAGGTGAGGAAAGGTATCCAGGAATCTCATCCAGAGCCAAAGTAAATTATCAAACTTTAAAGCTCAAATTGCCATGTTGTGTGTGTGTGTGTGTGTGTGTGTGTGTGTGCGCGCGCGCTCGAGTGCGTGCACATGAGTGTGGGTAGGGGTGGTCACAGCAGGAACTGATGTGTAGACCTTTTGGGAAGGTCTGAGCCCTTCTATGCCTTACGTATATGGAGGGCACCACTTGGATCCTGGCTTCTTTGGAGAGAACTCTTCCCCTGAGTCCATGCTGCAGCTCAGTCATCTGCCCAATGTCTCTAATGGCTCATCAGATTCTCTTCGATTCTGGCTGACTTTGGCATGGAACACTCTGAGAAGGATAAGAAAGGAGCTATTTGGGAGCTGAGGGTTTGGCTTTCAACACCAGCGCAGACTCCAAGGAAAGCCAGTGGACAGTGTTGGAAAGAAAAGAAAAATCAGAAGTAGGAAGGAGGGGGGAAAAACCCCTCTTTCTTCTTTGGTGGGTGTGGAGTCAGTAATCTGCCCGTGCCTCTGAGAAGAATGCCCTCCCTGCTGAAGTTACACTCTTCTAATGGCTCCATAGATTATCAAAATGGCGGTTCCCATAATCTGAGCGGAGGTTAGAATTAATTTACTCATTCATGCATGCATGCAATAAGCATTTATTAAATGCTTTCTATGTGCCAGGTGCTGGGAATCAAGGACAAAACTGGAACAGCCTCTACCTTCTAGGAGCTTACAATCTTTTTCAGTCATTTTTCAGTCATGTCTGACTCTTTGCATCTCCGTTTGGGGGTTTTCTTGGCAGAGATACTGAAGCGGTTTGCCATTTCCTTCTCCAGCTCATTTTACAAATGGGGAAACTGAGGCAAACAAGGTAAAGTGACTTGGCCAGGGTCATACATCTAATAAGTGTCTGAGGCCAGATTTGAACTCACGAAGATGAGTCTTCCTGATGCCAGCTGCCTCTGTGCACTCTGGCGCCACCTAGTGTCTCAGTTTACATTCTACTAAAATCAAAAAATATCGGAAGAGCTTCATGCCAAATGCCCTTTAGCATCAACCTGCAGGTTAAAAATGACCCATCATATATACTTCTTCCCCTACCAATTTATTTATTCCTTCTGAGAAATATTAGCAATAGTTAACTCACTTTTCTCACAGAATGTCAAGGTTTTCTGAGTACTTCCTCACATCCATCACTTGAGGCAAGTAGTAAGAGGGGAATTATTATCTCCATTTCATTGATGGGAAAATCTTTTCCAGAGAGATCACATGACTTGCCTACAGATACAGAGGTAGTAAGTGTAGGCACCAGAATTTGAATTCAGGCCTCCTGGCTCCAAGTTCATCATTCTCTCCCCTTGTCCTGCTTCCTATCCAATGATAAGCTGTTATTTCCTAGCTGGAAAAGAAGTGAATAGGGGAAAGGGTATGGGCTTGACAGGTAACCTGTGTGGTCCCAGAGCCGCAAGCTAGTTTGGGAAGGGTCTTCAAATCAGGACTGTGCCTCCTGAAAACAAAAGTTTTTGCTCAACTTTCAGCCTGAGCACCGCCATTCCTTGATTTTTTGCTGAAGACTTTAGAGAACCCAGGTGAGTACTCAGATTACAATCTATTATTCCTTACTGTCCAGAAAGGGGATTGATTGTGAGGACACCCCTCTTCCATGTAGTTCATCATGGCAGTGTAGACCACATCAGTGAGGAAACGCAAACCCCAGAATAGACAAGGACCACCTTCTAGACATGGTATGCAGAGGCAATTGCTGTAAAGGAAGGGGTCAAGGTTCTGGGAGTGAGGCTGCTTGGGCCAATCACGCACCAGGTATGCCCAAACAGAAGCTGTATTGCTGCAAGTATCCTAGACTCCAGACTCCAAGGTGATAATCTTACATCTTCTTTTATCCCTTGAGTTCCTTAAGGGAGTCTGAAGCCTTTTCTTATGGGCATGGCAAAATGGGTTAACCTATCTTTGTTTTAAATGCTTACTTTGTCTTTATAAACTGTGTTAACCATGAGCCTTTGTAGTCAACGTGTACCTACTGGGAATACGGTTGGGAGGAGGCAACTGAAAGGGGAACATTTCAAGAGAAAAGGGAGATCTAACGCTCAAGTGTTTTGCCAAAAGCCTATCACAGGCTAGGGGTTCAGATAAAACAAAAGGATGAAAGGAGAATAACAGAGCCTTTCATCTTCCCAGAATGGAGAAAAAAGGTTGTACCGGGAAAGCCAGTGGGGCAACAAGTCAGTAGTAGGGTGAAGAGCAAACAGCAATGGCTGAACAAACCCCAATGTGAACTTTCAACCTGCTTCTCTTAAACATCGTTTTAGAAAACTCCCCTTCCTCACCGCGGTTCACTAAGAGAAAACAAGGTCATCTGCCGGGTTGGTATGGTTTATCATCACCACCATCATCATCCTCACCATCACTATCACCATCGTTATTATTGTTATTATTATTATTGGGGTTGGTATTTATATAGCACTTTAAGGTATGCAAAGCACTTTTTATGTGTTTTCTCATTTAATTCTCACAGCCACCCTGTAAGACAAGTGGTGTTATTGTTATACCCATTTTCATTTGTTTGTTTGTTTGTTTTTTGCCTTTTTGGTGAGGCAATTGGGGTTAAGTGAGTTGCCCGGGGTCACACAGCTGGTAAGTGTCATGTGTCTGAGGCCACATTTGAACTCAGGTCCTCCTGACTCCAAGGCTGGAGCTCCATTCACTGCGCCACCTAGCTGCCCTTAAGTTTTGTTTGTTTGTTTTTTGCCTTAAATATTTGATGTTGTTGCTTTTTAGGCAATTGGGATTAAGTGAAGTTATCCCTATTTTCCAGATGAGGAAACTGAGCCTGAGAGAGGTTAGTTGACCTGCTCTGGGTCACACTATTAAAGTATCTAAGGCATAAGTCCAATACTCTATCCACCATGTCACCTAGCTGCCCTAAGGTTTAGTAGCTGCATTAGAAAACTAGTTCAAAGTGGGGCTGTCTGCTGAAGCATGGGGTCCCCAGGATTGAGTATAGAAAAGTAAAAGCCGAATGTAGTCCCATCTCCCAAGAAGAGGTGGAATGGGTAGAAGATGTAAAGAGGCAGATTCAGACTTAACGTCAAGAACAATTCCCTAACAACCAGAGCTGTTCCCAAAGTGAAAGGGGCTGCTTTGGGAGGTAGAAGGTTCCCCTTCTCTGGAGATCTTCGAGAAGAAGATGGATGACCATCAGTCAGGGATATTATCATGGGGCTGAGGTCTGGACCGAATTACTTCCAACTAGGTGCCTTCCAGTTACGCTTCTGTGAGGGAGAGGCAATCAATTAACACACATTTATTAAGCACCTACTATGTGCCAGGCACTATGGGAAGTGCTAGGGATACAGAAAGAGGTGAAAGACAGTCCCTGCCCTCAAGGAGCTCACAGTCTAATTGGGGAGACAAGCTGCAAACAAATATGCACAAAGCAAGATATATACTGGATAAAGGGGAAATAATTTAAAAAGGAAAAGCACTGGAATGAAGAGGAGTTAGGGAAGATTCATCTTCCTGAGTTAAAATCTGGCCACAGATACTTCCTGGCTGTGTGACCCTGGGCAAGTCACTTAACCCTGTTTGCTTCAGTTTCCTCATCTGTCAAATGAGCTGGAGAAAGAAGTGGCAAATCACTCCATTACCTCTGCCAAGAAAACCCCAAAATGGGATCACAAAGAGTCCTACACGACCAAACAACAAGAAGGGAAGAATTACAGCTTATAGAATGTAAGCTCCATGAGGGCAAAGACTGTTTCATTTTGACTTTATATCCTCAGAGCCTTAGCACAGTGCCTGGCACATAGTAGGTGCTTAATAAAAATTTATTTATTGAATGACTTGCTATCTGTGCAACTTTGGGCCAGTCACTTAACCTCTGTGGGCCTCAGTTTCCTCATCTGTAAAATGAGGCCGTTAGGCTAGATGTTCTCTGAGATCTCTTCCAGCTCTAAATGGGTGGTCTCCGATAGTTACAACTCCACCACTAACTTGCTTTGACACTGTGGGTTAGTCATTTGACCTGCCTGAGCTCCAGCTCCCACTCTGGCAATGCGTGGACTAAATGATTGGGTCTCAATTTCTTCCTTTGCAGAATGAATGAGTTGGCACTAATGACCTTAAAGGTCCTTTCTAGTTCGACATTTCAAGGTTCTATAGCGGACGAGGTCCCCTCCTTAGAGCACTCACCCTTCCTGGTGAGCTGTTCAGAGCACACCCAATATTCTTTGAACTGCCAACCCAACACATGGAATCTTGATGAGACTGCTTCTGGGCATACTTAAATGGAGAAGTCTCCCCTGCCTGCCCCCCAGCCTCAGAGTATGCACAACTATGCTCTGATTATTTTCTGTTGGTGTTTCTGCATGGTGATTAAAAAAAAAAAGCTTTGAATTTACTGCTGAGTTAGGACTAAGTGTGTCTACCAGAGTTTCAGATCTCTTCCCTGGCAGCTTCTTAGTGAGATGTATTGCTGTGAGTGACCAGGTCGGAGACGAGCAGGAGGCCCCATACCTCCCACCTGGCTTCCATGTGTCTGTGAACACATGGTTCTGTGGTTCATTTGTTTATTTTTTTTGTGTGTGTTTGTTCTTTCCCAAATGTAGGTGAATGAGTATCTGGAGATGGAGTTGACCAGGTTACAACCGTAGAAGCTTCAAAAGGTCATGAGAACTATCAGGGGTCCTCTCAGCCGCCAGACTCAGTAGCAGAGATCACTGGAGCCAGTAGTAGCTGAGTCTAATAAAGAGTCTTCCCTGAAGAGCTATCTACTTCACCCAGTCCAGCAGTAGATTGACTTAGCTGCTAAAAAAATGAGTCATGCAAGGAGCCAATCCAGTGGATCAAAGGATGAGTTTTCTTCCTTCCTTCCTTCCCTTTCTTCCTTCTTTTCATCACTCCCTTCTTTCTTCTTTCCCTCCTTCTTTCCTTCCTTCCTTCATTTCCCCTTCCTTTCCTCCTTCCTTCTCTCCTTCTTTTCTTCCTCCTTCCCTCCCTCCCCTCTTCATTCCCTTCTTTTCTTCCTTCCTTCCTTCCTTCCTTCCTTCCTTCCTTCCTTCCTTCCTTCCTTCCTTCCTTCCTTCCTTCCTTCCTTCCTTCCTTCCTTCCTTCCTTCTTTCCTTCCTTCCTTCCTCCCTTCCTTCCTTCCTTATCTTTCTAAATTTATATCCTCAGCACTTATCACAGTGCCTAGATCATAGTTAATAAATATTTTTTTCATTCATTCATTCATAGTCCTTTTCGAGAATGATGGACAAACAACACCTATGTAGTAGGCACCGTATTAGGTGCTGGGGATACAAGAGCAAAAATGAACTAGTCCTTGCCTGAAGAAGCTTACAGTCTATGGTGAAAAACAACACGTGCACACAGATCCAAAATCAATACAGGGCATTTGGAGGGAAAGGGAATATTAGCAGCAAAGGCCATGTACAAGATGGCACTTGAGCCACCTTTCTTGTGAGAATCTAGGGGTTCTAAGACAGAGGAAGGTGGGGTGCATTCTGGGCAAAGGAGACGGCCTGTGCAAAAGGCCAGATGGAAGGTGGAATATTGTACATGAGATTAGCTTGCCAGAACTATATCATGTGTGTCAAGGAATAATGTAAATAACATAGAAAGTCGGAGCCAGGGTGTAAAAGGCTTTAAATGCCAAACAATGAAGTCTGAATTTGATCCCAGCAGTGATGGGAAAATGCTGGAATTTAGCAAGCAGGGGAATGACTCAGTCAGGCCCAGGCTTTAGAAAAGTCAGTTTGCCTGCTCTACAGAAGATGATCTGGAGAGGAAAGGAAATGGAGGTAAGGAGGCTGATGAGGAGGCTGCTGTCATAACCCAGGCAAGAGATGATGGGGGCCTGCTGCAGGGTGGAGGTTGTGTGTATGTGGAGAGAAGGGGATAGATCTAAGAGATGCTATAAGCAGAGAAATGGCAAGATTTAGAAATTGCAGAATAATGGGGTTTGAAGTGAGGGACAGTGAGGGATAGAGGATGAGGACAAGATTATGAACCTGGAGGGCTAGAAGGGGGACAATTATTCTAATTCTAACACTGCCTGTACTTCCCTCCCACAGGACAGGGGAAAGAGTACTGGATTTGGGGTCACAAGTTTGACTCAGTTTGACTACTCACTCTATTACAGGTGATGTTGGACAAGTCACAACCACCCTGTGCCTCAGTTTCCTCACCTGTAAAAACAAGTTCTAGATGGCCTCTAAGGTCTTTTCCAGCTCCAGATCTATATTGCATGAATTTCCCCCATCCTCTCCCACCTTAAAAAGGTATTTCAGACATCAGAATGATATCCGAACAAGAGGACATCAGGGAAAATTAGGTGTCTAAAATAGAAGAATAATTTTCATTCTACTCTTCTGACCGCATTAAGCTTTTCTGCCGTCCTTCCCTTTCCCTCCTCGACATGAGCCAGGCATTAAGGAGATATTATGCTTGTAAATTCTCAAGATTCATAGCACAATAACCTAGACCCAAGCAACTTGGGCCCGCTGCTTATTAAAAGCAGCAAAGTTTTTGTAACAGTTTGAAGAGAGATTGTCCTGGAACTCTCTGTTCCTTTCCAAACTGACTGGCCCTCTTCTCCCTGGCCAGAAAGAGGTCCACATTTCATCCTGTTCAGTAGAATATTTAACGTTTAAAAACATTTGGTGCAGAGAAAAGAAGGCTGGTTTTTGAGTCAGATAGCCAGGGAATCAATGGCCAACCCCCTCATTTACCAGCCATGGGATCCGTGGCCTTGTCATCTCCCCTCTTTGGACCTCACTGTCCTCATCTGGGTGGCCGAGTGGTGCAGTGGGTAGAGCACTCTGCCTGGAGTTGGAAGACGACTCATCTTCCTGTGTTCAAATCTGGCCTCAGACACTTACCAGCTGTGTGACCCTGGGCAAGCCACTTCACCCTGTTTGCCTCAGTTTCCTCATTTGTCAAATAAGCTAGAGAAGGCAACGACAAACCACTCTAGCATCCTTGCCCCAAGAAAACTGCAAATGGGGTCATGTAGAGTCAGACACGACTGAAACAATTCTACAACGACATTCTCATCTGTAAAATGGGGATATTCATGTGCAATGACCTTTAGAATTGGACTCTGGCTGACCATCCCAGGCTGACTTTACTTCTATCCCTTGCCAGTCTGGACTACTTACTTTGGCTTGAATTCAGCACTGCATCTCCTGCACCTCTGCATAGATGGTCTTCATGGGGCACAGTGAGTAAGAGCCCAGAAGACCTGAGCTCAAATCCCACCTCAGCCACTCACTATCTGGGTGACCTTGGAAAAATCACAGCTTTTCTCAGCCTCAGTTTCTTCAACTGTAAAATGGGGCTAATCCTATTGCCTACCTCCTAGGGTGGCGGGAACCAAATGAGAGAACATAGGCACATTGCTTTGCAGACAGTAAAGCGATGTATCAATGTTGGTGATTCCATGCCTAACACAAAGCTTTGCCTCATCCCCCTGCTCCCTTCCTCTCTCTCCTCAAACTGTCTTGGATGCACTTGGGTGTTTGCATCAAGTACCTCCCCAGTAGAATGTAAGGGCCTTGAGGGTAGGGACCCCATTTTGTTTTAGCTACCATGACCGCACCTACTCAAATCCTCCAATGGATCTACGACCTCAGCACTGGGGACGTTCCCTCCCAGCGCGGAGATTGTTCTGTTCATGCCCAGCTCTTCTCAACGACTCTGGGCCATACGTTCTCATCAGTTCACCAGAGGTGGCCCCCTCAAAGTCCTGGAGGCTGCTCTCAATTTCCCCAGATGTCACAAAGATGCCAGCGGTGCATGGCACCTGCCTGAGTCTCTCCCCACTCCAAGCCAACCTTCACTCAGCTTACAAAGTGATTGTCTCTAACATATAGGTCTGACCACGTCACTCCTGTGCTCAGCAAATTCATTTATTGCCTTGAGTATCAAATATTAATTCCTCTTTCCAACCTGGCCTCTTCCCATCTTCCCCATCTTCTTATATTCTCTTCCCCTCCATACATTCCATGACCCAACTATACTGGACCACTCGCTGTTCCTCTCATACAACAAATACATCATCTCCCATGTCTTTGTGTCTCCCATGTCTGGAATGCTGTCCTTCCCAACCTTTGAATGCTTGGAATCTCTGACTTTTCGGGTGTTGCTTTTTTTTTTTTTTGGTAAAGCAATCAGGGTTAAGTGACTTGCCCAGGGTCACACAGCTAGTAAATGTCAAGTGTCTGAGGCTGAGGATTTATCTGACTTTAAAACTCACCTCTAGTACAGCTTCTAAAGAGGCCCCCACCTGTGCCCATTCTTGGCTACTAGTGCCAACCCCTTTAAAGTGACCTGTATTTATCTCGTGTTATTATTTTTTCTGATTTATGTATGTTGTCTCTTCCATTAGAATGGAAGCCCTTTGAGGGTAAGGACTGTTTTTGTTTTTGCATTGTATCCCCAGGATTTAGCCCAATGCCTGGCACACAGTAAGCCCTTAATAAATGCTTACTCATCAATTGATTCCCTGCAATGTGACCAGCCTCTTTCCTTTTTTGATTATACATTTTCCCCATGTTGCCCTTGATTCTGGTTCTTTCTTGAATTTCCTCATTTATTATATGTTAAAGCTAGCTCACATTTCCATCTCCCCCATAGGCCTTCTCATCCTGCTCTGAGTGATACTCATTGTTACTGCTTCATACACCAGTTTTCTATGACTCACAGTTATATAACATCCATAGAAGGCTAGAATATTGGTGTGGGCCATTGCTTCTGGGAGAAGTCCAGAATCTTTGTGATTTGAGAGTTTTGTCATTTCCCAAAGGCAAGTCTGTTTATGACCCTCTTCCTGTTTAATCTAGAGACCAATCTGTCCACTTGTGCTGTCTATACAAGATCTATCTATCAACGCATAAATTGTGCAAGATGTGTCTTTGAAGGTAGATTGTCTGAGATATATTTGTGTATATATAGATGTGTAGATTATGTCTAAGATATATCTATAGATGTAAATAGATTGTATGTATACATATATACAAATATCTATATTTGTATGTATACACACAGATGATCTAATAGAGATCTATATATTTATATAGATACATAAATTATCTGTCCAAGATTTTGCTATATCTTCAGAGATATGTAGAGCGCCCTAGAGATATCAATCTAACCCCATTGGCAGGGGATAGCATCTATGCATCTATAGATTGTCTAAGATATGTCTTTCTAGATACATAGATTATTTAAGATATATTATATGTGTGTAGATTATACAAAGATGTGTAGATGCCCAAAATATTTCTGTGTATGTACATAGATATATAGATTGTCTGTCTTTCTGTCTATCTATCTATCCATCCATCCATCCATCTATATCTATCTATCTATCTATCTATCCATCCATCCATCCATCTATATCTATCTATCTATCTATCTATCTATCCATCCATCCATCCATCCATCTATCTCTATCTATCTATCTATCTATTTATCATCCAATATAACTACATATGTATATACCATTATGTATAGATATATCTTGGACATAACAATAAAAATTTCATTCACTTACACCCAGCTCTATCTGAGTTCTATTGATTGTCCATTTAACTACAAGTCACAAGCTGAACAATAGACCGCATTCATCCATTTGATTTTTCCTGCATGAATGGTTAGACCAAACTCTTTGGAATGGTTAAGGATCTCTTCCAGGAGACTCTGCAGCATCCCAGGGCTTGCTGTTATCTGCAGATAAAAGCATCTGGAAGACCTCACAGTCCTTCCTGTTCAATTTAGATTCTGTCCTGGATCTCCTCCATGATGGTGATGATCACATTTGGCAAGCCTACGTCTACCTGCTTATATCTTGTCTGAAATTTATAAACAATAGGTCATAGAATGAGGTTGTTGTGTTGTTTGATTGTTTCAGTTGTGT